ATCAATCTGACTGGATGATCTGGTGAACTGGAAAGTGACCTGAGATGACATGATGTGAATTGGAGCTATAGAAATAAACTGAATAGAATTGATGAAAACATTTAAACATTGTCTTTTGTGCAGATGCTGTGTGCTGCAGTATGTGGATGACATTCTTACAGGGCTAGCATTGCAGCAGGTGGGTCTGCTGCGTGCAGATGTTCTATCATGGTTAGGGTCAAAGGGTGTCAGAGTTGGGCTTAAAGGAAGGGTGATCACCTCTGCTTGGGTGGGAATCACAGAAGGTCCTAGAAGGAGCATCCCAAACCAGGCACAGTATGAAAGATTATACCATTTTTAAGATTGGCAAAATACAGCAAAAATGATGTGCCTAAATAAGCTGAAACTGTAGCTCTTTCAGAATGCTGATCACAGAAGCCAGACATGGGAAACTAATGGCGCCGCTGTGTTGGACGACACAGGCAGAGCAGGCTTTTAGCGTCCTAAAACAGGAAGCATCAGAGTTGTTAGCGCCTGTTTGAGTCGGATGTGAAGGAAAGTGAAGGGTTCTTCTCCTCTGGGATGTGGCAAACAGGGAAACGGAAAGGAGGCTTCTGTGTTACTACAGCACCAAGTTAGACGCCATGGAAATCGGCCATCCACTGTGCCATTGCTGAAGCATTAAAGGGACGTCACCGAAGACCAAGACATCAGGGTCAACACAAGGTCCTTCAAAATATCACAATTATAATCAGTAGAGAATCTAAACTGTGTCTCTGCAATAAGATTAAGGCTTTGATGCCATAAGGCTTAATAAACAACACTTAGAGTGTGGCTTAGGTATGGCGATGGTCTGAAAGAATTGGGGTGAAACACGGGGACTCTTGTTTTGCAAGACTAGTGTGTTTAAAATAACACAAGTCCAACATAAATAAGCATATAGTTTAGTTTAGGTAAATCTTATATTTCTAGATAAAAACTGATTAATCAGACAGTTTACCAACAGACTCAAAGGTCATGACCTGCTGCTCTGGGAAAGGTCAGTGGGTAAGGTCAGGCTTTCTGTGAAGCTGACAAATAAGGGCCCATGTTTGCTTGACATTTTAAAGATGATGATAGAAAATGTTAACGCTGGAGTCACGTGATGAGGTGCAAGGGAATGGCTGCGCTGTAAGGGAGCTCCTAGCCCTGTCAACATTATTTTAAACGAATAACTTTGAAACATCTCCTACCAACATCCTACTTGAAGCTTGTGTGCACGCTCATTATATCTGAGCAATTTGACCGAAATATGACGACGGCGAGTGAAAGAAAACGATGTGTGCAGACCCCCCTGCCCGCTGTTGCTACCAGAGGAGCTAACTCAGCTAACGCTGCTAGCCAAGAAGACAGCCAAGTAACGGACATAAATGGTCTGTTTGCGGAGATTGCCAAGGTGGGAGCGACGTTAAATGGAGTCGCAAGTGATGTGACCCTTATTAAATTGGACACAACAGAACTCAAGAACTCCGTGAGTGCAATTAAAACAAGGTTAACTGAAGCTGAGAGACGCATTTCTGATGTGGAGGACACTGTAGCTAACCTAGCAAGAAACAACGTGAAGCTAACCNCTGACTATTGCAAGACTAGTGTGTTTAAAATAACACAAGTCCAACATGAATAAGCATATAGTTTAGTTTAGGTAAATCTTATATTTCTAGATGAAAACTGATTAACCAGACAGTTTACCAACAGACTCAAAGGTCATGACCTGCTGCTCTGGGAAAGGTCAGTGGGTAAGGTCAGGCTTTCTGTGAAGCTGCCAAATAAGGGCCCATGTTTTAAGGATGATGATAGCAAATGTTAACGCTAGTGTCACTTCAGACTTAGCTCAAAGGAACAGTGTACTTTGATCATTTTTTAGTGGAAATAGATGAAGATATATATATATACCGGTATGTATATATATATATATATTTTTTTTTTTGGTTAAGTAATTTGGCTCCATGTAAATCTGTCAGATTTAAAGGCTAATGCACAGACACAGCATAAAGTATGCGGCATCATTCATGCATAATCTGCAAATAGGAAAATACTNTTGGAAAGATGCAGGAATAATCTGGAAAAAGAGGATGGAAGCCATTAGATGTGTTAATGAGAGGAAGGGATGTGGAGCAGTGACCCTGGAAGGGACAGCGGTACAGGAAGAGGATGAGAAACTGGAGGTCAACCATCTGGGTGGGGTTATCAAGGACGATCCGTGACCTAAGCAAAGCTGCAAGACTGGGAGGTAAAATTACATGACAGCCCCTGGATGGGCTGAAGGTTGGGGTTTAAGATGAAAGCAAAGAACAGGAAGTTATACTTGAATACATATGTAAAGAATTTCACTTTGAAAAGAGAAGGAAAAGTAAATGTTGATTGTGGAGCTGCGATCTCTGAAGGTCAGATTCATAGATACGTCATGGCGAGGCGTTGAGTTATGAGGCCTTAAAATGCGTCCTCCTTTTACCGCGATCTGAAGGACGGGTCCGATGTATCCTCCATAGCCCTGGATATCCCAGGATTCATTGGGAGATCAAACAACTCAGCTGCTCCGTGATCAGAGGAAAGGTTACTTGGCGCCGAACTGTGATGAATATTGGAAGTTCAGTTTAATATAATACAACTCTG